AATCTGGCCACTCGCATTTGCATTGCTCCTCTTTCCAAACCTCTTGCACATGTACTTTCCTCTTAGCCACGTCATCTACAAATCTAGGTAATGTTTTCACACACAGCTCAGAGGCTATACTGCCTCTGAGGCAGGTGTATTTTTGGGTGTATACAAATACACCCAAAAATACAAATAGATGTTCTCAGAAGTACTGTGGTTTATTTTACGTACCCTTGTTTGTGACATCATCAGAAGAAGCAGGAGAATATCTGCAGGTTTATTTGATCATGTAATGAAAACAATTTACTACAAAATACCAAAAATAAGCATAGTATACACAGTGTTGTACATATGGTAAGCTTGTTCATCACAGAGAAAAAGCTGAATGAATTAAGATGTGAGAATGTTGCCCATAGTTCATGTTTCCCCAGTCATTTATGTGTATTGCATCATGGCAAAATCAAATCCCATTTTGAAAATATTCAAACAGCGTGGCACAGGAGCCAACTACTTTTTTTTTTTCATGGAGATGTTATAACCTGTCTATTTAATATAGTTTATTTTTCATGTTTACATCACCAGATTAATTTTGAACATAATTCATGTCATCAAAGTCCAGCTTTTTTTTTTTTTTTTTGGATGTCTTTGATGTTGCAGGGACCTGTCTGAAGTTAAAGTCAACGTTCCTAACATCACCTGCAATTTCACCATAACACAGGAAGTAGAGAAATCTGGGGAGTTCAGGTTTGCTCTGGAGGAATTCAACTGGACTCTCTAACATTAAAAATAAACCCAGTGTCCATCAAGTCAGTCTAACAGGTTTTATCCGTTTCTACCTGCCGTTGTCACAGACGACCCATTGGAAGTTCAAAAGTGAAACTAAACTGACAACGATGGTCAGTATCTGCTCTTAATAACAATTTGACATCAACACAGTTTAGAATAACAGATTACAAATAGTCATGTCATTCCCCTTTGGTTTTCTCTCCGTAATAGGAATACAATGCAAGATGAAGCCTCAAAAAACGGATGATTAAAGTATTATTTTTTTATTGGTATTGTTGATGGATGATGTTCATCTGTCTGATGTAAATGACTGAGTTAAATGTCAACAATACTTGTGTTACTCTTTAAAAAGTAGAAACACATGTGACTCTGTAAGGGCTTGAAAACTACTACTAAATTTAGCAGATGCTCCAGATGCTCATTACATATTTTTGTGTAATTATATGAATCAAAATCAAAACAATAAACAGATAACACAAATATCATTACAACCAATTACTGATGTTATACTGTTATATCAGTTTTCTGATTTCATTTTTAAAGATTAGATAACATACTGCGTTTTTTTTAAGTTTTGAGTAAAACCTGTGATATTCACTCCAGGTGATCATACTGTTTAACCTTGAAGCAGCTCATGCATATAGCATATATCAAATCTCTACATTCAGCAGACCCAAATGCTGCATTAATCACAGCTGTAGATTCTTAGATCTACTAACTAAATATCTCTCTAAAACATTTAGAAACTCTAGATAATATAGAGAAACAGTATAACATAGTTAAAAGTGAATAAATGTATCTTTCCTCACTAATCTGCAACGCATCCTCTGTCTTGTTTGGCTCATAGAGACTAAAATTGTTTGAAGTTTGTTTCCACTAATGCCTGGATCTTGTCATTACAAAGAGCTGCATCCCATGGATGAGTGATGTGAGCCATGCCATTAAGCCCCATTCCTTTACACTGCATTGGTTATAGTGGTGACCAGCCGGCAGCCAAACCGTCCTCAGAGAACAATGTGCGAGACGCCTCCCATTTCAGAAATGCTCAACCTCCTTTGTCTTTTTTTTTTATAGTAGCACATCCACAGGGGCAGTCCCACTTGGAGCAAGTTTTGCTCTTTCAGTACAAGTGAAAACTTCCTGGAGCTTTGTTACCAAACTCTTTCTCGTTTCATTAAATCAGCCTTAGGCGTTTTGTTCTGCCTGCAGCATGGCATTGGTCCTTGCCTGCTCCCCTCCTCCTCTTCATCCACTTCTGTTCTCTCTGGTCTTTTGATCAAAAGCTGCGACGGTACAAAAATTCTGACAATAGCTCTGGCGCTTTCATCAAGAGAAATAGATTTTATTGGGGCGGAAGGTTAGCAGTTGTGCTACAAGTCATTGAAGGTAATAAACCCTCTGGCTTTGCTCAAGCTGGTGCACTATGGCACGCTTTTTCGAGCAACCCTGGAGGTGAACAGGGCCAGTGTTTTTAACAAGAGGTTACGGTGTGTTTGGAGAGGTTCAGGACAGCAGTTTAACTCAGTCTAAGGCTCACAAAGGTGAGCTATAAATGTGTGGGAAGTAGCTAGAGTAGTTCAAATTACATGCATGTCCGCTTCGGGTGTAGAATGTCTGAGAAAGCGAATCATAAAAGAGGCTGGATTGGTCGATGGAGGTGAAAATAGCAATACTTATAGGGACATTACGTGAAGACTGTTGGAGCTACAGCTAACAAAGAATTGGTCATATGCTGTGCTGTACAGTCATCTGCCTCCTTTTCCAGGGTCATTTTTACCACCAAACCCCCATTTCTCCCTTGTAACCAGAGTAAGCACATACGTTGGTCTCAAACACTTGCATGCACGCACATTCACCAAATAACAGGAAAACTGAGTCGACGGGTGAGGTGTCACCGTCACTTCGTAGACAGCTTGATGACAATCCAGACGGAGTCACACGTTTAAAGGTCACACACATATCAAGCACACACCCTTTTTCCTTCTCTAGCTATTTCTGTCGCATATACACACAGACACACACCCACACTTTAATTAAAAGCTGTAATCAAGCTGACTTCTGCATGTATTAACACTTCTCACAGACGTGAGAATGCCGTCATACAGCAGTAGCTATAAAGAACGAAAGAGCTGTGAATACCAAAAAGAGAAAATTATTCACGCTAACATGTCACTTAGCTCACGGAGCGAAACTTGTACTTGACTTTTCATTGTCTGCACTTGGATATAGGGAAGGTGTTATACACATATCCACAGAAAGACTTGACTGCATACGCAAGAATAAAAGTTGAATTGTTTAATGCTTGAAAATAAGTTGAACAGCTCAAAAGGCTGATGAACACATCACTTTGAGCCAAAGTTACGTCTACATTACTAGACATTCTATATATTTGTACAACAGAGTAGGCAGAGTAAGGTAATCATCATCGTTTATCAACTACAAGCTTTTATTAATGCTTTTACAGATTTTGAATGTTCTGCAGTGTGAAAAAGTGTTTGTTCCCGTCCTGATTTCCTATCCTTTACATGTTTGCCGCACTTCAATTTTTCAGAGCATCAAACCAACCCAAAAGACAACATAAGCAAACACAGACTTGATCAGGAACTTCAGTGTTTCTGGCTCTGACTTCCGAGCGTCTGGCTAAGTGGTTGTCCTAGCGGTAGCATTCTAGTTAGTCCAGACTTCTTGCTGTCACCTAGACATTGCCCTGTTGAGAAGGAAAGCACCGAATTCATCCAACTTATGATTAATTGTCAACTAAATTAAAAGAAGTCCCAATCGATTAACTAGTAATGTCCACTTAGACCAACTTTCAGTGTTGTGGTGCGGGACCCTCCAGTTATCCTTAAGCTGAGGCAGTTATAATTGAAGTAAAGCTGAAAAGAAAAGTGAAATGTTCCAAATAGGGTCAAAGGTGGGATGGAAAATGCACTTTATGCAGTCCTGTTTTGAAATATAAACACTCGTAAAATTTCACCTTAATAGCGCTCCTTCAGCTGAGCTGCATGGCAAAACAGCACCGACTTCACAGCCGAAAATCACCGATTTGCCAAAAAGGCAAGGATGTGATAACAGAAAAGCGAAGGGTATCACACATTAAAGTAGTAAAATGACGGGGGGAAAAATGGCATGATGAGAATAAGTGAGGATGAATCTGAGGGCTTTCATGAGTTAAGGTACTTCATGGAGCCAAGCTTTAACATTTTGAGACATGAATTAAAATAAGCAAATAGAAAGGCAAAGGCCAGTTTTATTTTAAAAAAATTCAAGGAGAAAATGCAATCTCTGACACGCTAAGCATGAATTTATCAGGTGGTGGTCCAGTGTTGACTATATGCTTAACATAATCAACTCGCAGTGCCCTGCGTTTGACTTTGAGGATTCGAGCCCGGGAGTAGCAAACAGCAGTGAGACGGTTACAATGACGGACAGCGTTGTCATAACAATTCTCATCCCTCCCAAGGACACATCTCATTTAAGCTCAAGTAAACAGATAGTGTGCAGCCACTTTACATATATTTGGTAGTCCAAAGCTGCACCTGTCAAATAAGGTTAACCATCAGGGTTGCTATAGACAAGAAAAAGGGAAGAAAACAGATAAGCTCGATCTACTTTGCAAAGGATATGGCCTAAATGGCAGTGGCAGCTGTAAAGTGGGCCTGTGCTTGTATGCCAAGGAAATGAAAAGTGGGATCAAGGAAATCATCAAGCTCCAGAAAGCAGTGTTGGCAAAGGTGTGTCAATGCCATTGTGCCCATCTATAATTTTAAGAAGTGTGGTAAACAGTAACCTCAGAGTGATGAATTGTACGCAAGATAATATTCAGGCATTGTATGTGTGCCTAGATAGGAGAGTGACAGGGCTATTTACTGTTTGTTGAGATAATTTGTTCTCCCTTGTAAACACATTCTGTATAATATGCATGAAAATGCTGTAGGATGTAAGATAAGGTAAAAGACACACTGCTTTAAGAGTGTAGATAAACCAGAGTGCATTCCTCAGTCTGCACTTGGAGCTCGTTTTTCCTCACTGAATTTCTATTCAGTTGTAAAAGCAATTCAGCTGTCAGAGCTGTAGCATCCTGCAAGATTTTATATATTAAAAAAAAAATAATAAAATCCCCCAATATGATTACATAGCCATCGCAAGAAACTTTATTATGGCTGCAGAAAATGTGTCAAAGGCATATGAAAAGTGAAATGATTGTGCTGGTTGCAAAGACTTGGCCTTACTGTGTTTTGGCAGTCAGCATTGATGAGCTGCAACAGAAGGCTCTCAAACTTCTCCAGGGAAGGCTGGAGGGAAATGGTCAGTTTATCCAGGGTGAAGGGCGTCATCTTGAGCAGCTGAGGCCTCAGCAGAGCGTCTCCTGAGAACAGAGAGAGTATGGCGTCAACATACACGCACACGCATATACCCAGTATTTACGCGACTCTTTTCAATAACCTTCAAAGCCCCCACTGAGAGGAAAGGGTTTTTTTCTTTGGGGCTAATGAGGAGGGTAATACACCATCTTTGATAGTGTGATAGTTGTGAAGTCTAGCATGACAGAAATGTGACTCAATACAGACAAAACAATGAATCACTAATTTTTAACCAATCCATACATTCATGGGAATTGCATGTAATTTACCAAAAATAAATTCTAGCATTATAAATGACTGGAAGCACAAAGAGAAGGTGACTGATTCTGACAGAGAAGGTTACATCACTGTTTTTTGAAGGTATCCATATAATTTTTGTCCCAAGAAATGCTTTGTTGACTGGAACTTGATAAATGTTCAGCATGTTCATTTTTGACTAGTGACTAATCAGGGCATGCTGTAAACAACAGTCTTCAGTCTGGATGTTGATACTGAGTGAGGAAGAGTTGCAGTTTAATAATTTCGGTATCTGTAAGGCGTTTAGAAAAGAAAGGGACATGTGAAAGGTTTAAAGTTCTATTTTTAAAAACATCAGTACTTTTGTATGATATCGGGGTGACACCATTGTTGTTGTTGATAACAGGAAGGCTAAATGAAGAACTGGGTTATAATCTACCAAGATCAGAAAAATATTGTATTTTAGAGTACAGTATTGAGAGTAGATTGACATCTGTTCAAAGTCCTTTTGTCAGCTTGTAAAAAGTCAGTTATAAGGAACTGATTTAAAGCTAATCAAGTGATAGAAAATGTTGACTGTAATATATTGGGTAACGTTTTAAGAAGAAACCTGTCTAGAAAAATGGACAATGTCTGCAAGAACACTGTCCATCATAGAGTTTGAGTGGTACTCAAACTCTATGATTGTTTTGTGTGCTTTTAATAATAAAAATTAAGCCAAAAGAGACCATATTAGAAAATGTTCTTGATATAAATTAAATCAAAACTGATTTAAATGAAGCATTTCAGTCAATGGATGAAGTTTGAAAGTTTAACTTCCAGACACAACAAAAACGGGCAGCTTGTTTATATTTGGCTAAAGAGTAATGCCTCTATCCAGTGTTTCAATGCAGCTCCTGTCTCAGAAGCACAAAGTCTAGTTACTCTGAATGCTGTGCGAATATCAAGCTGGTGGCTGTGGTCTTAAAAGGCAGCTTAGGTCTCTGCTGCTCACAGCCCCAGAACATGAAGAGGATTAGCTTGCTACCATACCTCCCACTGACTCCCAATGATTATAGCTCTGCTCTGTCAGACTTCATTACGTTCCCCCTTAGAAACTTACTTTCTAAGTACTGCAGACATTTCAACTTCTGCTGGAACCAAGTTTCTAAAAAAAGACCACTGTGATGAATGTCCTGTATGTTATTGTGACAGCTGGAGGAAGATGAATGTGCAGTTTTGTATGTAATAATGGATTACGCTTGATGTACCAAATACAATAAGTTAAGCCAAGTCATATATGACTAGATTAAATTCAAAAGAACGTATTTAGTTAGGCCCAAAGAGCAATGCTAAAAAATCTGTACTTCTGTAATTTTGGAATGAGAAGTCCACAAAAACGTCTTTGTAGATTTTTGTTAACTTGTGATCATAACTATGTAAAATTAAGTGGTAAAAATCCTGTCAGAGCACAAAGTATGGTATTTGAAAAAATATCGTCTCAATACGTCTTTAAACAAAATAAAGAATCGTTCAAGAAATGAACAATACGAACTAAAATTAACTGCTAAGTTATGAATGGCTTTTAATAGTAAAAACCATTTAATAGAGCAGAGTAAAGAGTGTTTTAATAAATGTTCATTTTATGGTTATTCATGTGAGCAAAAAAAAAAAAAAAAAAAGATTAAATACTGTCAGCTGTTTGGATGATGGTTGCTCTTGAATGTTGCGATATTTCTCTTATATTTAAGTTTAATTGCCCAGCTCCTGAATTCATCTGGTAATGCAGAACTGGGAAATCCAAATGTTAAAGCAAGACAGGAGTGTCCAACAGCAGCTGTTTCCGCAGGCACTTATAATGAGCACCCAGCCTCTGCTTGACTGATTCGTCCAACACCATGAGAAACTAAAGCAATGAAAGCTATTAGCAACATTTTTTGGTGAGGCCAAAAAAATACTGGCATATTTTACAAGCTCAAAATAATTTATTTTTAGAGTATTTCTGGGAACCCAGATATCTTGTGATACACAGATAATTTAATATTTCAGATGATGCAGGCAAAAGACTGATAGAAAACTACTACACTTTTCAACAAATTGAGCTGCTTGGAATATTTACAACAGTGAAAAAACACATGCAAGCATCATGTGAAAACTGCAATGTTGCTCATTAACACCGTTTTAAAACCAAACCTGTCAACCCAATAACCAGATGTAGGTTGAGCAACAGAATCCATGTTGGTTACCCAGGCTGAATGCTCAACTAACTAGCCAGTTTCTATCAGCTTGTTATGCTTGTTTTTCTTCAAAAGGCCAGAGAGAAAAACAATGCATTGCACTGTTACAGTAGCAGAAGGAATAATAGGAGCTTTTCTGTCTTAAATGATAATAATAATAATAATAATATGTTAAACATTGTTGTTTGAATTTTTTTTTATACTAATGCAGACTGTAAAGACTGGTAAAAAATAATAAACAGGCTCTTGGATTATGGCAGAGAAATCCCCCCATACATTTCCTAATACTCATCACTGTGCCATCACAGTTTATTCTCCTAAACTGAAGCCTCATGTTTCACCAGATGTAAAAAGCTCACCTGCTGGAGAAAGAATGAGTCCAGGTATGTTGTCCTCTCCAGACACAAGAGCATGCTCAGGCAGCAGGTGCACTGCAGAATTCAGTGAAGGATGTGTTTTCATCACACAGTCCAAATGTGCTCCATCAATTACCTTCAATAGGTTGCCATCTGCAAAAAGACAACAAAAGGCATAATTTCATGAGAAGCAAGCAAAACTTTTTGCTGAATACAAACGAGTTCAATGTGATATTTCAACCTGGCCATTAGCATCAGCCCATTCAAATAAAAGTTATCCATCTTTTTGGTGTCAGGTTCTAATATCCCCTCCAGGAGCAGGAAAGTCACCTGGCAACATGGCATCCAAAGTGCACCCAATTTTTCAATCTTTCATTTGGCTGTTTGTGACGTAGCTGCAATGTTCCACTCCGCTGCAGGCATCATTTTCACGGACTAAAACTGAAATGACAGCCATTCAGCTCGAAACCCAAAGAACCGCTGCGGCGCAGATGAGGCGCGAGACATGAGCAATGAGTTAGACATTGTCATCTTTCACGGAGGTCATTCAGAGACAAGTAGCAACCCACAACTCCTGTCATCAACACAAAGCACAGCTCATTTAGAAGGTTGAGGATAGTAGTGTTTGATACGTTGACGTACGTTGGCTTCGATTAAGCCTGACCAGCATAACAATCTTTCACCGTGGCAGGGTTAATGACTGAACCTTGAACAGCACCAGTTACAACACAGCAAGCTTCAGTCATGCTCATGAGTGGCTCAACAAGTTGGTGCAGCACAATCTGGAGGGGAGTCATTGTACATGGAGAAAAGATGCTTCAACTTGAGCTCACCATTTTGATTTCTAATTGTTTCTGAAACTTGGTTGTTTGGTTTATTTCCCTGTCAGCACCCGTGAAAAACTACCACTTCAACTGAACACTTATAGACCCATCAATTTTGGCACATCCCATTCTTTCTATTATATACAGTCACCCGCTCCCCTTAGCTGCACTCTTCTGCAAACTAAATACACAGTTCATCAAAAGAGGGGTAAACATTTACTGTCTGAAAGCACTCTTGGACTAACAGATTGTTTGAAGAAAGTGTCTGTAGTAATTGAAAAGCTTACATTGAGAAAAACATCTGGAGAAGACCTATACATGGAGACCATAAGAACAGTTTATTGCAGCTTTACAGCCTCTTGTTTAAGAACGACAAACAGCACTGTCACTATGAACATCCACTAAAATTATGGATGTCTGACATTCAAATAAGAACAAGCACTGCTGATTTACAGGACCTTTCCTCCATATACAGTCTCTATCATTCAATATCAAGCAACAAGACGAAAGAAGAGGCATTTGAACATCACATGATGCTGCTCAAATGCCTCAGAGTAAAGCATGTCAAACATCAGAAGGATCAAATCCAGGATTTAAGCTGTGATCAAAATACTGGGGGATCCAACTGAGGACATTGTGACTTTAGACTTCTCCATTTTTGGACTTGGTGTGAAAATGTAACATTTATTTTGCCAAAGAAAAATTATGTTAGCCTTTGTGATTCCTCTGCTACAATAATGCTTTGAAACCAACAGTAATCATGTATGCTGAAGCAGGGGAATGCCTAAAATTTGCAGGGCAGTGTGCCTTCAGGACCAGGGTCCCCTTGGCCATTTCCTGTCTGGGGACTAACAATAAAGACACCAAGCGCCATAAAAAAGGTATAAAATAAATTGTTAATGCAATATCATACACAATTCTACATATATATTTATTATGGGGTTTTTACATTTATATTTTGTTGAACAACTAAATCACACATATCATTAAGAAACATGAAACTGTCCAAGGATAAATTGATTAATCGTTTCCTTATAAACCTGCTCCTTTGTCAAATAACCAAACAAACTGAAAAATCACGTACAGTTAATAGCTTATCAAAAAAAAAAAAAGGTTGGCAATACTTTGGCCATTTTGAGGACAAAGCAACTGCCTTGATCTTTTAAGTCACTGTGGGGGAGATTGAGGGAGAAGGATGAAGATGGACTGGATCCCTGCGTTCTTCCCTCTGCTAGTGACTCGTCTCTGTCAAAAAGCTTCGACTCTCTCCTGCAGCTCGCTTACAACAAGAAAGGTGCTTACTTCTAAAAATGAAAATGGAAACCTCCAGCACAGTTTAACCTCTTCTGCAAACACTTTGAGTCACAGAAGAAGCTTTTATTGAAAAGCCATTTCTTACCGTAACACAGCAAAAATGAATGAAGAAAGGAGAGGGAGAAAAAAAAAGCAAAATCATAGAACTTTCTTGCCACAGATGGCGCCCAGGTGTCAGATTCTTTTTCATCATTTATGTCTTGGTATTTATTATGCATCAGGCTCATGTTGCAGTCAGATGCTGTGCATAGATTAGAGAACTATTCCAAAATATCCTTACAGCAGTACCAGTGGTGTGGTACCTCAAAGTTGGTTGAGCAGCTACTTGGCAAGAGATGTGAAAAACGGGAACCTGGAAGGCTTGGGGGACAAAAATGACTCAGAATGAGGAAAACAGAAATTGTAACTCTGGGAAAACACTAAAACAGAAGAAACAGCATGCAAACATGACATGAAGTAATATTTATATTCATCAGTGTCAACTAACAATCACTGACAGAAGGATTTTAATTCCACTATGTAATACATGTTATAATCACACATGTTCTGTGCAAAAATTGGGTTGGCAGTATAAATTATTTCCACACCGTTAGGTCCTGTGGAGAGCTGGATGTGATGATTGCTGGTATTACAACACAAAAGGAAGTCAGGTATTCTGGTCTACATTCCAGTGGCTTGCAGATAATGATTTCTGGTTGGCATGAACAATTCTTTCTAAATGCTAACCAGAGCTAATCTGATCTGTGTTTCAATGGAGTGTTAAGATGCATACCTTTGGGTAAATAATGTGTCGGCATCGCTTTAGTTTATGTAGCTACTTCTCTTGTTAAATCAAGAGAACAACATGAATCATAGAAACATTCAGTGCTAAGAGGTCCCAACATGTAGACATGAATGCTACTGAATATATGCAAGTGTTACTCAAAGATCACACAAAATATTTCCTTTTAACATAATTATTTTAACAACATAATCTCATGCTATTCTATGCATATGCTCTGTCTGTACCATTTAAGATCTAATCATCTCATTGCCAAAATGTTCAAGTGGTTTCAATAAATAAGCAGCTCAATCTATTTTCTATATAGTGTAGCTAATAAAATATCGGACTACTTGGGGTAAACACAGACTGCACATAGAGCATTGAACTTTCAGCCTAAGATGGTTAAGTAATCATTAACTATAGCAAAAAAAAAGATTTTAGTGATATTACAGTAAAAGCAACTTACGCTATAAACATGTTACACAGTAGGGGTGTATTAAAAACAATACCTCTGATAACAGGACAGGACTTTGTGTTGTAGCATGCTATTCATTGCCTTACATCTAGATTTGTATTAAAAAAAAGTGTTCATAGATACACCAACAAAATATGACCAGAATAGAGAGTGGATCTTTTCTGTACTCTTCCACTGATTAAGATCAATCTGCTTTGGACATCTGGTGAAAAGTTCACTAAAAAGTAATAAAGTCCAGCAGGAAAAGGAAAAAAAAAACAAAAAAAAAAACAAACATAAAAACATATTTCTGGAACTTTAGCCAAGACTGAATAAGTGATTGAATGTGTACTTGTAAGAGATGCTGCCTCTAGTGTTTCTGTAGCATTCAACTTGCTCATTAGTACAATAGAGACATTTGAATATGTTACATGATGAATACTGAATACATTAAAAAAAAAAAAAAACTAAAAACACAGCAACAAAGTGGGTCAAACGACATACAGAAATTTTCATATGGTAATTATGTGGCACTTCTTTCTCTGTCTAGACTTGTTGCTTTTACTCTCAGAAGCTAAATCTACTCATTTTAATTGTGCTGCATATACTATTAATTAAAAGATTAAAAGACAATTATCCATTTATTTTGAACAGCTCGTTTAATCTTAGGAGTTTTAATCCAGTTTCAGCACCTAAATGTAGTTACATATCTGGATATCACGCCTGTGCTCTATTTATTCATGAATGCCATTTGGGGGGTGGGGGAACATTCAAAACATATTTTAAAAAAGTACCTGAAGTAATAGGATGTGCAGCATGTGCATAAAAATGACCCTGATAATATGCATGTAGAACTATATTCGTATGTAGGACATATCAGGAGTTATCCTGCATACATGAACACAATGAAACTCCCTGTTGATATACTTTAACCTCCTACCAAAAAAAATGCACAGCAGAGACGATAATTCTCCATAAATTTTCAGGAACCTCAAGCTGTCCAAAAACATACCAGTGCTTTTTTTACTGTTACATCACTCAATATTTTCACTCGCTGCATGTTGAAGGGATGAGGAAATCGTACCACAGGAGACCAGATGGAACTGCAGAGAGTCTAACACTGCTCAAAAAACATATCAATAATCAAACACCTGGTCGTATTTAAATCCACATCTGCACATCAGAGAAAATGTTGTATTTGACAATTCATACCTTCCTGATCATTCGCAGTTTTAAGATTTTCCATCAGGGAAGTATTTTAGCGCCATCAACGCATGCTTCTCTATATGTAAACGTTCAATAAAGATTTGTGCAAGTAAAGAAAGTAACAGCTTATGTTGATTTCCACCAGAAAAAAGAAAGTCACAGCGATGCCCTTTTCTAAGCCGTCTCTGTATTTTTACAATTCAGGTAAGATTAAGCAGACGTTTATTTGAGCTGATTAGCATTTGAAGAAAAAAACAGAAAAAAAGTACACCAGAGCTTTTCTTGAAGGAAATATATTTCTCCACTGTAAACTCAACCTTAACATAGTTTTCATCTCAACTCACACTAAACTCCAAAACAAATTATTTCCATCCTGATGTAAATACTTTTGATAAACATTTTCTTCAATACTATTTATGTTGGATTCATGCATAAACAGTTTTTTTTTCTTTTTTATCTAAAATCAGCAATGGTTAATACTTAAATCTTTAATCAAGTGTTTCATGTCAGCAACAAACATATGCTGTGCGTGGATAAAGCAAAACAGATTATACTTGTTCACAGAATTGAAAACAAAAACTGTTCAGGATTC